TTCACTCTAACCTAAACACCGTCCACTACCATCTCGAGGCGGCGAGGCCGGCTCTGCTCTTTCTGACCGAGACGCAGGTATCCTCTCCGGCTGATGTCTCGTATCTCTCCTACCCGAGGTACAAACTGGAACACTCCTTTGTGCCTCGGGCTGGAGTTTGCGTTTACGTCAGAGAGGACATCTGTTCTCGACGCCTCGGCAGACTTGAAGGTTCGGACCTGTCCATCCTTCGGCTACGCGTAGACAGCGACGACCATCCGCGCGTCTACGGGTGCCTCTATAGGTCCCATAGCGGTAATGCCGAAACAGACCGACTCTTCGACCACGTCTACATGGCTACAGATTCGTTGCTGCAGCAGATCCCCTCCGCAGAGATCGTGATCCTCGGCGACTTTAACGCCCATCACGCCGAATGGCTTGGTTCACGTACAACCGATGATGCAGGGAGATCTGTTCATGATTTTGCCTTGGCATATGGTCTGACACAACTGGTTACTTTGCCTACGTGGATTCCAGATGTGGAGAATCATGCACCTTCTCTGTTGGACCTTCTGCTGACCTCTCATCCAGACAAATATCAGATTTCCGTCGACGCCCCTTTAGGCTCTTCGGACCATTGTCTTGTCAAGAGTGTGGTGCCACTCACGCTGAAATCGCAGTTGCATTCAGCAGGCTGCCGCCGTGTTTGGAACTATAGGTCAGTTGATTGGGATAAGATGCGGTCTTTCTTTGCATCATACTCTTGGGCAACTCGCCCCCTTGCTTCTCGCCGGATGATCCCAACGTTGTTGCGGATTCTGTCGCTGATGTGGTACTACAGGGTATGGAACTTTTTATTCCTTCCTCTGTGGTGCTCATTGGAGGCAAATCTCAGCCATGGTTTGGTCGCCACTGTAAAATAGCATCATGCAAAACTGTAAAATAGCAGGAATGCTATCAAGCCTGGGCTGACGCATCAACGTCCAGGGATGTAAACACCAGCGCTTTAAAAAAGAAGTATAATTCCGCCTCCAGGTCCTTTAAAAGAGTCATTGCCAAGGCAAAGTCAGAGCACATAGGCAGAATTGGCGAGAAACTAGTTCGCCTTCCTTCTTCAGAAGAAGCACGAAAGTAGAATAAATTCTGTAGAAATGCGGTCTTTAAAGAGTATGCTAGGGTTGAATCTGAATGACACAGAGATAAATGTGGTATGCAAGATGATGTTGTGACCAGGATTAAGAAAGGAATGCTTCGGTGGTTTGGTCATGTAGAAAGAATGAATGAGGAAAGAGTGACAAAGCAAATTTATATGGCAGATGTGAACGGCAGAGTCGGGAAGGGACACCCTAGAAGAAAGTTTATTGACTAATTTGGCGATATTTTGAAAATGGGCCACATTAGAAGTACCCTCCGACGAGCATGTATGCGTAGATATATGGATGTAAAGGAGGCGAAAGCGTATGTCAGGATCGTGTCAAATGGAAGTCCGTAGTCTCTGCCTACCCTTCTGTGTGACAAGCGTGAGTGTTTATGTTGTGTTATGTTATTTGAAGAAAACTTTGACAAAATTTTTTGTAAAAGTTAACAAGGTGCATAAAACTCTTTAATTGAGTTACATTTGTTGGAGATGGGGCTGCCATAATACCTTAAAATTTTGTTAGAATCCGTATGCAAGCCATCCTTATCAATTTTATAACCTAAATACGTTAAACAATCCTTAAAGAATTTACATTTACTGAAATTGATTCTTAATCCATTTTGTTTTAACCTTTTTAGCACTGCCCTCACATTTGCTAAATGGGTCATTTTATTCTTTCCAGTTACACATATGTCATCTGCAAATACAGCCGTTGAAGGCAAGCCACTCAATGTTTCCTCCATTATCTTTTGAAAGTTTTCAGGTATACATTTTATTCCAAAAGGTACTCTTTTGTAAATGAACGTCCTGGCATGAGTAGTAATTGCTGTCAGCGGCTACGATTTTTTATCTAATAAACATTGTTGAAATGCTCCACCACCACCAATGGTTGCAAAAAGTTCTTCAATCCGCGGTAAAAAATTATGAAAATCTTTTAAAATGGGATTAATCGTTATTTTATAACCTCCACATATTGACAAGAGCCGTGGTAGGTCAGATGGTTAACGCTCACTGTAAATATAACAGAACGTGAGTAACCCGGGTTCGATCCCCGCCGGCACCAATGAAATTGTTAATTGCAATTTTAAGTTCTGATTTAGCACGTGCTCGGCGACGAAGGAAAACATCGTGAAGAAACCTGCATGTCTGTGTCTGTGTCTTTTATGTTTTAAATGTATAGATTGACTTGGCAATCGCATTAAGCAATCTAATTTAATATAATACGTATTACTTGTGAGATACATTGTGGTTTCATGCGATGGCCAAGTCAATATATATATTTAAAACATAAAAGACTTTTAACATTGATATGGTCACTATAAAATGTTGTTAGGTTAGCTAATTACGTAATAACTTAAAACAGAAGGACCCTTAAGTAGGAACTGAATAAATTAACCGACTTGGTATTACATGGATCTCACAACTTTTACGGTAGAAGAACTGAGTTGCGAGACTTGGTTTTTTTACAAGTTATGTTTTTAATGGTATAACATTTTTCCAGTAGGAACTTCTTTTAAAGTATTTTTGAAGCTACTCTTGTATAACATATTTTTTAAATCAATAGGTAATCTATTAAACAGAAACACTGATTGATAATAAGAAGAGTGTCTATAATATAATCAGTATAATAATATGTCATAGTCATAACCATACGAGGGACGATTTTATTATGAAAGTCTTTTCTCCTAGTGTTTTTCTTATGGTTTTTTCGTCTATAGTCTCATAATCGCCAATAACTTTAGCAAATTGTGTAAATAACACCAGTATATACAGGCATAAAACAGTCAAGATTCCAAGTTTTTTGAAATGCATGCGACATGATTTATCCGGCTTGCTATTTTATCCGGACCATGGTTCTGATTGCCCTTTTTTGCAGAACAAAAGCTTTGTGTGCAAAAAATGGTTTCAACCTTGAAGTGCAGCGATACAAGTGACTTGAATGTACCTAATCCTTCTGCAAACACTTCAGGGAATTCGTCTCTCAATGCTTTTGCTATCGACTCCGAGTCGCTAATATTGTAACATTCAACAATTTCTGTTTTCAATTTCTTAATCCATGTACGGCCTGTTAAAGACGGACCGCCGTTTTCAATAATAAATACCTTAAGCATTGCAGACTTGGAACCACAGACAACCATTACCACAATATAACCGATCGTCTCGATAACTTCGCCAGTACATATAAGATCTCAGACATAACAACTTTGCTTGAATAGGTACATGTTTAAAATGTTTATCATAAAAATAATTCGAAATAGCCGATATTTTACTGCCCGTGTCAATTTCAAATTTAAATGGCACCTTTTCTACTACTAAATTCGCATAGTACGGTACGTCACCGTTATTACTTGTAATCAAATTAAAAAATTACAGTCATCATCTGAGTCCGAATCATTTAAAAAGTACTGTTCTTTGTTCTCCCTTGCACTCTTAAATTCACTTTTACCTTGACACATCACTTTTAAATGGCCGCACGCATCACATGTATAATTTTTAAAACGACACTTGCCGGCTACGTGACCGGTCCTACGACTACGACGACTACGACGACGCCGTGACCTCGCGGTCGTAGGCACGGGAGACTCGTCGGACCGCGCGCGCGCTCCGCTGCTTCAAGCGCCGTGGCTAACTCCACACCCCTTTTGTAATTCATACTCTTTTCGGCAAACAATCTTGACCGCATCTCTTCGCTGTATAAACTCGACACAAACTGATCACGAAGGTTTTCTTCCAAAAAAACTATTTTAGCCAGGTTTTAGCCAAGTGTTTTAGACCATGTAAGTAAACACTAGTACTTTCTTTTTGCTATTGCGTCGGCTGCTGAAAAATGTGTCGCTCAGCTATTTCAGATCTCTCCGGTTCTAAATGATATTTGACGAGTGTAACTAATTCTTCGAACTTCTTTATTTTTTCTTTAGATTCCGCGGGTGAACACAAATCTAAAATAAGGCACTCGGAACCCACTAACGTCAAAAGCGTAGCTACGCTTAAATAGTATCGATGACAATCTAAAAGCAGCTACTTTTAGATTGTCATCGATACTATTTTACAATATAAATTGTTTTACGCGACAAATGTCACTGTAATAAAATATTTATTGCTTTGCAACCTTCCGCTAAATAATTACAAATGATAACTAAATAATAACTGTCCCAATTTTGGCTATCGATATTAAATGGTCCAATTTTCCCAATTGGCATTATGGCAAATAGAATTCCGCGTAAGTACCGAACTTCTAAACTGACTGCGTCAATTTTATGTTTACGTCAATAAAAGGCAGAGATCTGATAACTATAATTGTATTATTAAAAACTTAAATCAACCCACGTTACATTTATTATCGAAGTACCGACATAGCAGATACATATTTTCTAAAAAATATCTTCGCAATTAAGTGTGTGTACATTTACATCAGGAATAACGCATAAAAACAGAAAACTTATCAGTTTATCACATTTTTGATCAAACTCCACATACTTTAACAGTTCACAAATAAGAATGGCGAACTGTTATTTTCTCATTTCTTTCTGAATATGTATTTTGTTGCCATTGCACAGATAAAATTCACTCTCATGGACGACAAATTTCAAATAACACCATCTCTTAGTTTTCTACTGTGTTGTGTGTTATCAACATTTGTCTTTAGCGCTGTACACCATAGATAAATAAATATGTAGCAAGCTGTACACGTTTAAACCGAACGATACTATGGACTGTAGTCACCCATAGATTACTGCTGACTACTATACTATACTAGAGATAGTCACCTTTGACGCTTGAGTGGCTAAGTGTATGGTCTATAGTGTTTGTAACAACCAACAATATAATATTATCTACCTCTGCTGTAGTGATTATATATTATTAGGATTCTCTATCTACGACAATGGGTGCGTTTGGCAGAAAAAAGCGCTTGCAAGCGCTTGTAAGCAAAATGGCGATCGTAAGCGGTAAGCGCTTTAAATCGTAAATAGCTATTTTCCTCCAGGACACGATGTTAGTTTTAACCGGGGAATCTAACCTAATTTAAATATATGTTTGTAAAGTATTCATATTAAAAAATTACCAATCATGAGTTTTTAATAGCATGTATATGTTTATTCATGTCATATATTACTTAAAACTAATATTGCACAAAACAACTTATAAACTCTACTTCAAAACAAACAAATTAAATAAGCAAAATGGCGGATTGTGTCAGCGCTACTGAAGTAGCAATCGTGTCCTGGCCGAAAACTATTTTAGCGCTTATAAGCGCTTGCTAGCGCTTTTTTCTGCCAAACGCATCCATTATTCTTTGTTTGATGTTATGTCTATGCTGCATGGGCATTTACCTTTACCTTTCTGTGCTGCTGACAGAGACAGATGACACTGATAGTAACAGCTGGTTCAGATTTTTAGATTCAGGATTTCGGAATCAGGTTCAGGAGTTCGATTTCATTTTCATTTCAATTTTCATTAAATAATAAACGTATAGATATTACTTCTTTAAAGCAGTGTGACTATATTCTTCCAAAAAATATTATAAAATTTCTAATCAACAAAGAATGAGTTATTTTATAGCAGCAGTTATCGTACTAAGATTTATATATAAATCCTAAAATAACTTATTTATTTTAAAATGTTTTTCACAAAAACTTTTAGCACGTCTATACACCCCAAAATAATATTTAATCCTCGTTTTTATTCAAATAAATGGAATCCTTTCCAGAGGACGTGGAATTTGATTTCTAATGAATTAAAATTAACGAACAAAGGTTCAATTTTTTACCCAGAACATGCAGATGTAGTCATTATTGGTGGCGGATTTATTGGAACGTCAGTTGGATACTGGTTAAAAACAAGAGCAGGGGCGGGTCTCTCTGTTGTTATTTTAGAAAAAGATCTCACAGTTAGTAAAATCTCTAGTAAACATAATACATCCACTTTTTATTATTATAATAAATTAATACGATTTTTTTCAGTATTCAGGAATTCAAAAAAATTTTTCTTTAGGGTCCTTAACTCAGCATTTTTCACTACCAGAAAATATTTATCTATCTCAATATTCTGCAGAATTTTTTAGAAATATACAGGCAAATTTAAATAAAGATGTAGATATTAAATTTACTCCCAATGGATACTTAGTACTAGCCTGTGACAAATATGCAGAACAATTAGAACAAAATGTAGCAGTGCAAAAAGAATATGGTGTAAAAAATGAATTATTGACGTCTGCTGACATTAAAAAAAGGTATCCTTGGATTAACACAACAGACATTAAATTAGGTAAGGAATTATTATTGAATGTTTCATCACTAATATCATAGCATTTATTTGCATCAACATTTTGTTTACCATCCTTTCATTCATTTGTTTCATTCCAGCATTTTTAAAATCTACTGCTGAACTTAACCCATAGATTGTCTCAAAGATTTTACACTTGACAGATGGTTTGGTAATTGTAGTTTTTTATTATTTTGAGTTCATAGCAGGTAGATGCTGCTGCCAATCTCCTGAGCCAATTCCTTGTGTTGCCTTTTACAGCACTCACAATGGATTCTCTTACCCTCATTTATTCACTTATCTCAACAACAAATTTAACATCAACTATATAATAAATTGTTATTATATAAAAAAATTAATAAGTTGTTTTTAGAATTTTAGATTATTTACTTTTCTATTATTTTATAAGTGTTAATTATTTTATTGTATTCACTTTAAGGTAAAGATTTCATTGCATTAATAATAATAACTGGTTTATAATTTATTTTTTATTTTATGCTGTGGTAGCCAAGAAAAGCTGCTTACCTTAAATTTCACCTATGTGAACAATCTAGCTTTAATCCCTATTATGGTTTTAACATTTGAAATTATTAGATTAGCTTTACTAGAATTTGTGGATGTTGGTAATGCTGGCTTACATTTTTGGTTGGTACTATTGGAAAACCTTCCGGCCATAGAGACAAAAAATTGAACAAATTCTATTGAGAGTGAGAACTGTACAAATCAACTGTATTGCTTCGTCGCACTTTTAACATCAAGTGTGCAACTTTTCGTAAAAAAGTAAAGCAACCAACCCATGCATCAAAATATGAATGCACCTATCAAGAAATACTAAAAACAGTAGGTTGAGGTGTCACTGCTATGCTAAAACTGCAGACATTGATATAATAAATATACTGTTGCTTCTTTCCAAATTCACTATACATATTTCACTATAATTGATCGTTACCACTTCCAACACTCTCCTCACATCCAGCACAGCCCTTAAATCTTTCGATGAGATACTAATAAAAGCTCGAATTATTGATTTCAATTGTAAGTTTTGGAGTTTTAGAATCAGCAGTGCTGCTCTGTAGCATGTTGGCGGGTTCTTTCATCGAAATATGATGTATGTTATTTAAAAATATTTCAAGGACATGATTATTAGCCAAATAATACTGGAGCAAATGAGGGAGTTATATACATGGTAGAGCCATGCTGGAGCTATATTATGGTTGTAGCACAAATGGGTCGGCTCTACCGGGGAAGGACCACACTTTCACAGAATACAAGCATAAATTAGCAGCTTAATACCATTGTGTTTCGTATGGTGTGTGTAGAGCTGTAGAGATCCTCAGACCCTTTTTTTACTGGAAATGAGGCATTTCATCCTAGTCCTCAGGGGTGACACTGCATCTGAAATGATTAGTAAAATTTCATCACAACTTCATAGAAAATGACCTAAAGCTAGTTGCATTATAACTTTGTAATGTTATTGTAAACTGTAAAAAATCGTCGAACTATATTACTAGTGTAGTAGTAATACCTCAATGTAAAAAATAAATATTTTATGAAGAAAACAACTTATATACATTACCACTATAACTTTACTCTTTCATTTGCGGGATAGGCAGAAACAATCTTTCTTACTTACTATTTTCACTTATTTTTTAGTTGATAGTTGTTGTAGGTCTTATTTAAAGTATTCATACAATCATATAGCATCATACAGTTTAATTCTCCATAATCTTGGTAATTTAGGGCAGTGGTGGTTTACATGGAGGTTCATTATGGTCATATATGTATATTAGGGTTGCACTGCCGGGAATATTATATATAGATAGTCAATTACGATTATCTTTGTACTTACTTTGCATCTGAATGAGTTGATGTAAATTGTATTATTTTCAAAATCGATAAGTTTTTAATCTTTTTTGAATACCACTACCTATAAGTCTGATATGAAAATAAGTGTTTCAGCTACCATCTTCCTATTTGGGCCCATTTATAGTAGTTATATTGGTTAAACTGAGAACTCACTTATGCTCATTATTGAGAAAGCCCACATATTGTGACGAACAACTATGGAACCCTAACTCTACATTGTGCGTGGCCTGACAATGCACTTTGCCGGATTTTTTTTGGAATAGCATTAGAAATAAACTCGGGTTGTTTATTTAGAAGTTTATGGTCAGTTAAAAAATATTGACAATTTGGAAACAGATTACTGAAACTATGAACTTACTCATATCTAAATAAGGATAGTTTAAAAGGATTCGTATATTTTATCCTTTGTTATTACTATTGTTATTACTACTACCTACTACAAGTCCATTGCGGAACATGGGACAGAGATAGCTGCAAATCACAGTGCTGAGTTATTCATAATTTTGATCAAATCAATCTTTCATTCTGGATTAATTTTTGTGACTGTATAACTAAATTAACATCTATTAGTTATTAAACTTAGTGAAGATTTGAGAATATAATATATTATTGTGTAATTATGATAAGTACCTTACCTTCCTTCCATTAAATGATCACCTATCATGCTGGTATAGATGTTATAGTATAAGCACCATTGTAAAATCTATAAATTATCAGGAATAATAACTTTGTATATGCTAAGTTTAAAACATAAACAAAGATTGTTAAGAATAACAATTAGATGCGTATTATACTCTGTATTATAGAATAATTACCTTATTTTTTTTACAGAATAAGGGTGATAAAGGAGTATTTAGTCCAAATGATGCTGTAGGCAATAGGCACCTACAGTAAAGAATTTAAATATGATGCGTTCTCACCTCTAAGTACTAAGTTAGAATGCCTCGATACAAGTAAAAAAGTCTCCGGTTCTCTACATACACCATACGAAGCAGACCAGAATTAAGCTGCTATTTTATGCTGGTTTTTTGTGAGATAGTGGTCCTTCGCCGGTCGAGGTGACCCATTTGTACTGTAACTATATTATAAGCATTAGCGTGGCTTTACCACTTTATAAATATAACGAAAGACCAGTGTAAATGTTTTATGAAAGAGGTTGAAATTTATTTAGCTAAGATCTGCGTAAAAAAATAATGAAAATGATGTCCCTTTGGTTAATCGGTTACCACGCATCATTTTTTCCTAAATACCTTTATTATAATTTATTCCTGCAAACTAACGTTTGGTTCTATTAATTAAATGTTTTTTTATTTTTAGGTTGTATTGGCACAGAATCTGAAGGAGTGTTCAATCCATGGGCTTTATTAAAAGGGCTACTATTTAAATGTCATGAACTTGGGACTACTGTTATTAAAGCTGAAGTGATTGGATTTGAAATGGAACAGCAGCGTGATGTTCTTATGGAGGGTGTACCTCCAGGGAGTTTTAGAAGGATAAATAAAGTTGTATATAAGACCGATGATAATGAAGAACATTCGATTAAATTTGCAGCTTGCGTTTTAGCAGCAGGTGATAATTCAGGTGAAATTGCAAAATTAGCGCAAATAGGTAATGGACATGGACTATTAAAAATACCTCTACCAATTGAGCCAAGGTAAATTTTGAGACTCCTTTTAACATACTCGTAACTTCTTTCATAGATAGATCAGTTTGCACTCATAAAAAGTATATCCTTTTTAATAGGGAATTTAATATATATAGTATTGATGATGAAAATATCAAAGCTAGTATTAATACTCCGTGTATTATGGACACAAGTGGATTATGGTTAAGAAGAAATGGATTGAAAAACAACTTTTTATGTGGCCACACACCATTAGTGAATAATGATGTTAAGGAATTGTTGACTGATGAATATTTTACTAATATAATTCAGCCATCACTATTAAATAGATACAACTACAGAAAAGAAGATCAGGTAAGAGTAAAAGTCAAATTTGACAGTAAGATATCATTACAGGTAGTTCAAAATTATTTGCTGATTTAATGCCATTTTGTTAAACGTAAGAGTGATAAACGAGCATGCAGTTCAACCAATATTAAGTGGTTGGTGTGGCCTATACATACCTACATCTTGAATCTTCTACTCTTCGCTATACACTTACAATCAGGTCCTTAAAATCTTATAGAGTAGTTCAATGACCCAGAAATAAGGACAGATTTATAGCCATGCTGCAATTATATTAGTACTATAGTTGTAGCACGAATGGGTCGGCTCGACCAGGGAAGGACCACGCTCTCACAGAATACTAGCGTCAAATAGTAGCTTAATGCTACTATGTTTCGTATGGTGAGTGTAGAGAACCGGAGACCCATTTTACTGGAAACGAGGCATTCCATCTTAGTCCTCACGGGTGACAACGCATCTGCATTTTGATTCGTAATCGAGGATAGATGTAGATGTCTATGGACCACAGCAACCACTTACCATAAGCTGGACTGTGTGCTCGTTTGTCAACCCATCCTATAAAAAAACAGACAAATTATTTCAGAAGGCGCCGGGTCCACCCGTACAAAATAGAATGATATTATTTCCTACTATACTATTATTAGTGGTTTACACACAATAAAACTGCCAATACATTTCTTTTACTTATTATAAGGTAGTGCTTGTCAAGTCGTGCAGAAAACCGATGAATGCATGAGACACTGGCTTTGTGGCGGTCCTTGCGGTAGGTATATATTTGAACTAAAAAAGGCTGTAATGATGATGATAATGGTGAATGCAGCTATTTTATAGTCAAATAAAAAAGTCAGTGCTTGACTACAATCACACCTAGTAATAAATGATGATGAAGCCCCAGATGGTAAATCGCACTGTCTTAGCCTAACAAAAACCCAGTCTTTCTTGCCTTGAAGATGTCCATATTGTAATCGCATGCAAAGACGCACACAGACAGAATATCGGCAAAAAGCTGTAAAGACACACTGATCGCCTGGTTCTCAGGTGGCATGTGGAAAGAGTAATTAAGCCATGTAATTTTTGCGCAACTCTCCAAAATGCATCCTATACCGCGAGGGTCACTACTCTGCGCCTGTACTCGAGGCTGACTAGATTGGTTACAACCAAATCAAGGTAACTAATAAGCTTCTTAGCACGGCTCTCAACTGAGTCCAACGCTGCTAGGTAGCATTTTGCAGCACCAGCTCATACGTGACAGCAGTACACCATACATGTACGTAAGAAGCGATCACGTGGTTTTCTTGCGGCAGCTTTGGCTCTGGATTTAATGAAGCACTCATAATTGAGAATCGGAGGAATCTTAACCCCTAACAACTAAAGCCGGTCAGTGTACTAGAAAAACACCTACCGGAAAGTACGATCTAGGGTGGGTTACTTTATGCGGAGAAGAGACACACACGGGGTTTGGAGGCTTTGAATCTCACACGACTGATATTGCTCCATTCGGAGACTGCCTGCAATTTCCCGCACGAACGCTCTACCATAGCTTCTCTATCGGAATGTGCATTTATCCCGACTGGCCCTAGCATTCTGCTGGTAATTACTACTACTGTGCTGTATTCGCATACCCATAAAAACCGGTCATAAGCAGATCAATTATATGCAGCAGAAAGACTGTTTTGGAGGCCTTTGTCGCCATAGAATTGGACGACTAGCCACCGACGGCTATTCAATCTGCATAATGGCTAGCTTCCAAAATTTGATCACTATTCCAGTCCTAAATAAGAAGCGACAACAGCGGCGTCAACACAGGAGATAACTCTAAGCCTTTTAGAACTGTAGCTAGTATAGCAGCTGATCTACTAGTTTTGTTCATGTCTAAACTCCGCAAGGTTTTAAAAACCTCCTTGTCTAAGAGATACTGCAGGGATGTATCGCGGTAAGGAATTAAGGTGGTATGCTTTTCAACACGGACGCATTCGGAGTTGAACTATGGGCGTGCCTTACCACCGATAGGTACATCATTAATGGGGTATTGAAATACATCACTTGACGTATCACATCGGTAATAGCATCCTTGAAGCCCAACGGAATTTCAGACGAGAAGCAGACCTGCCGCTAAGGATGAGATGCAAAGAAATGCCGCATCCCATCCAGATTTGCTGACTTGTATCGTCACATTCGACGCACACCTTGGAAATCGTAGTTATGACACAGATTTCACCTAACAATTTGGTCGGAAGTTCCCAAGTGGGATGTAACTTAAACATCGTAACTGCTCGTATTCGGTATCATTGGTTTTACAACAATAATACGCTACGTACGGCGTGTACCTACCACGCAGGAGAACGGTCACTACGTACTAAAGCATAGCCCGCCTGTCCTTGGAAATTGTAGAATATATAGCGGCGCTGACGTCGGTGAGTAGTGACTGCGAAGTTAGCTGTTTATGAGTACAAGTAGATGAAGTTAGTTGAATAATGTACAAATTTACATTTCATTTTTAATGAGAAAATTTTCATGCTCCTTAATTTTGTAATTTTTACAAATTCTTTTTGTAAAAATTAAAAATTTCTCCATTTTTTAATCTTTTTGTAAAACATTAAAAAATGGAGAAATATTTTATTGTGTGTAGATGTGCAAGTGGTTTAGCATCTGATCGGAAAAATTGACTGAAAATGACTTTTATAGACCGAACTTAGTGATCGCAGCGCCTCACTCACTACCACGTATAAACTTTTACGGAAAAATCTTTAATATCAATCACATTGCCAAAAATATCAGCATATGGCTAATATTTTTTTTTTGGTTTTTTTATACCATCATATGATATAGAATATTATCTCACTAGAATGTCGCATAAAGTTCTTCCTTCGTTTATCTGTGACGAAGATTCAAGCGGCAATATGGGCTATAACATTTATAACAAATTTTTTATAACAAATTATATTACAATATACTGCCGTCAAGTGCATAGTACAATTAACTTTAATGTATTTTATACTCAGACTATTAAACTTCGATCAACAGAAGGTATTGTTGATCGAAGCTATTAAAGAAAGATAGACGGAGCTGCGTACATTTTAGGTGATACCGAGAGCAAGCCAAAGACTTGTCCAACTTATTGTAAAAAGACGCTACTCACGCACATTTATGCATCAAAAATTTTTTCAACTAACGACGTAGTTTTAGATGTATATGTGTGTCCAGCAGTGGAATTATAGGCCGGCCGCATGCATACGGAATTCCGTTTCGGGATTCCGAACGCAGCAAGTTCATATAAAATCAATAACCCGGCACACACCTACGGTAGTTTTCCGTGCGGAATTTTGCGAGCAAAACGGGATTCCGTATGTGTGTGGCAGCAGTTCCGTTTCGGAATCCCGAAACGGCATTCCGTATCTAGTGTGTTGCGGGCCTTACGATCGGTTGAAGAAAGTAATCAAGAAATCAAGCGTGTTTCGGTGTCAATTGAAATGTACGTGGTGTATCTTTCTTAGATTGTCAGTGTTTTATTACATTAATAAATCTAAAACGCCTATTTAGTATAACTAAAGCCAACTCGTGGTGAGTTATAAATTTCCATTTTTTTATTACATATCAGTATCACAAAACTCCTGTTTAGTAAATTGTAAATATTGTTTCAATGTGTATATCCCGAGCAAGGGCCGTGGTAGCTCAGATGGTTAACGCTCGCTGCAAATATATAACAGAACGCGAGTAACCCGGGTTCGATCCCCGCCGACACCAATGAAATTGTGCTCGGCGGTGAAGAAAAACATCGTGAGGAAACCTGCATGTCTGAGGAATAAGAAAAAAATATTTCAAAGACATGTGAAGCTCGCCAACACGCATTGGGGCAACGCGGCGGACACTTCCTTGCCCTAAAACCCTCTCAGAAATGAGGGGAGGCCTGTGCCCAGCAGTGGGACGTATATAGGCTGTAACTTACTAACCTACTTATGTATATCCTCTGAAACGGTTGCCTGGTAGAGATCGCTTTTAAGCTATATAAGGCCGTCAATTGACCTTTAAATAATTGGTTTTTTATTTCTCTCTTATGTTTTATGGTGTACAGTAAAGTATATTTCATTCATTTGTTTCAATAGCTTTGATTGTTTGTACAGGTGAAGCGACTACATACAGAAGTTTATGATTGTAATACCTATGATGATACTGGCATATTAGGTTCTCACCCATACCACTCAAATTTGATTATTGCAGCAGGCTTCGGAAAGCTAGGTAATTTTTTTATATATAAAACATTCAAAAATATACCTAGACGTAATTAATGTATTTTCAAAAATTTGTAAAATTTTAATTTTTGGCGATTAAAATAAATCGCCTGAATACAGTGTACGTTTACGGGCTGATAGAAAAGATGTTTTATTTAAATTTTGAAAATATTTATTGATATTAATTTAGTGATTTGGTTTTGAACGCAATTTTAAATGTATATTACCATTTTGTGACATAAGTTTTGATAATTTCATTCATCTTCTGTTTTTTCAGGTTGTCATCATGCCCCTGGTATTGGAAGAGGAGTAGCGGAATTGATAATTGATGGTCGTTACTCTTCTATAGACCTAACACGTTTTGGATTTGACAGGTTGCTAGTAAATGAACCCCTTGTAGAATTTAATATGTATTAAAATAGTAATAATTTAATAAACCTGTAAATATATATCATGTTCCTTTCTTTCTATGGCTTTTCTTTAAAATATTTATGTATAAATTGGTAAAATACAAGGAGTACTATTAACTTTTGGTCTTTCAAATCTGTACCATAAAACCGCTTTAACATGGTGGGACTGACGAACGGACCACTGTAGCATGGATTGGCCGGCTCGAACCAGGGAAGTACCACGACCTTACAGAATACCAGCATGTGATTAGTATCTTTGCTTCTGCGTTTCGCTTGGTAAGATCAGGTAACCGGAGGCCCAACCTCCCTCCACCCGTCATAACATGGTAGAAGTATTTAAAAATAAGGGAATACCTCAGGAGGTTACCAGGACCCCTGGTAATGAAGAATGCTCTCACTGAGCATCCACGCCCAAGGTACACTACTCTTCCTAAACGTGAGTGGTGGGAGTCTTCTGGTCGGATTTTCCCAACGTTACTGCTAATTCTGTTACTGATATGGTGCTTTAGGGAATGGAACTATTTATTCCTTCATCTGTGGTACACATCGGAGGCAGATTTCAGCCTTGGTTTGATAACTCCTGTTAAACTGCATTACACAGAAGTTTTCAGGCCTGGGTTGTTTAAATACCAGCATCCTTGAAAAAAAAGTATATATCCGCCTCCAGAATGTTTAAAAGAGTTATTGCCAAGGCAAAGTTTGAGCACATTGGCAGAATTGGCGAGAAATTAGCCTTCCTTCGGGAACCCGTGCATTCATGTCACCTCGCACAAATTCCTTGTGGAATTGACTACTACCATCGATCTTTCGTCCGGAAAAATCGCTGAGTGTATTACGACTTACGGACCTTCAAACATAGAGCCTACGCTTTTTTAAAAGACTGACAATGCATATGCAATTCCCCTAGTGTAGCAGTTGTTCATTCGGGCGGCAGTTGTCACCATCGGGTGAGCCGTATACTCGTTTGCTACACCTTATATAAAAAATGTACAAAAGTAGAAATACGTTGTTTTGTAGCGCTCCTTGTGTTATTAATCTCTGATGACACCCACTGGATGAGATTGCTATACTTCCAACTAGTGTTGCTTCTAGATTATAGAAATTTATTTACATTTAGCGCTAATGGTGATATAAAAAGCATTAGATTCGTTAAATTTAGCACATAAAAAATGCGCTAGGTTTCGGTTGTTAAACAAAAAATAAAAACACAAATTAAATTAACAAAATCGTATAAAACTAATATAATAATCTTCTCTCTCTTCTTCTGTTACCGACCTCGAAGGGCCAACTTAAGCAATTATATTTTTCATAGATTCTAATTATGCTAAAGAGATCACCACGAAACTAATTATTATGAATGTGTTATTATTTGAATTAACCTCAGCACGATTACACAACAATATAGACTATATCTAGCTTTGATTGAATAAATGAATTTGTTTAAGTAATAAAGAACATTTAATGTAATTCTGCTGTATAAAACAGCGTGTGACCTATTACTTTCTATTCAAACTACCAACAACGGGAATACTGAATAGATACCGTTGAACGATGTGTGTATGCCCCCACTCTTGATCCCAGTCTTCACATATACGTTATAGATCGTTCTTTCGAAACAATTTAAAAAAAAATAATTTCAAGCTGCGTAATCACTTCTAGTCACGTCAATTCACATAGCAACGGTATAATATAGAAATACAAATAGCATCCATATCAAAATAATCCCATAGCAAACCAGTAGGATTCCTTGCTATGCGGGCGTCAGCGCAAGAGACGCTTTTTATATCGGCCGTACCAACATTTCTTGGGATCACAAATCGCGATCGGGATTGTTACACAAAGACTCGGATTGGGGGCGACTAAATGTAGTCCAGTTTAACCCTCAGAAGACACAGGTTTGCGTGTTTACCGCTAATAAGAGCGCCTTTGTCGTATCCCTTCAATTTCAGGGCACTTGCTGCCTCCTCTAGCATCGGAATCCTCGACGTGAACATATCGAATGATTGATTAAAACTATTTTACTGATTTTGTAGCGTTATTAAACATAATATGATTTTTAATTCCCGACGTTTAGGCTTTTCAGCACCCATGGTCACGGGGAACTAAAATTAACATAATATGGCTTCGCTCGAGTGGGTTTCAATTTAGCGACATTAATAAATGTTGTTCCGTGCCAAATTTAGCAAATTTCGATCACTATCACAGTCACCTTTGTGTCTGTTTGTCAAAGAATATTTTTTAATTCTCATGAACCAGTGGACGTAGATGATTGATATTTGGCATAGATATAATAAGTGTGTTAGAGGAACACGTGAATAAATAAGTATTTCATAAGTGCATTAATATCTTATGTCTATATACACCTACTATTTTTTATATCTGGAGTGTCTTCCAATGTAAGTATATAGTACCCGGATGATCGAGCTTTGCTCGGTTTTTTTTGGAAATTACATTTAGATACAAATTACATATTGATGAATAATAGTTTTGATCGTAGTAGAAAAAACTGAACTGGTTATTTGAATAAAAAATCGTGAGTGCAATTAGTTTAATTAAAATTTTCGTATTTTTAAAAAATACTAAAAAAGGGCTCGAAATAATAGATTTTCTCACAAAAGAAGGGAACTTGAAAAAAAAGGAAAAAATCGGCCCGAAGACAGGACGTGAACTAAGGCATTACGATTTCGCGACCGCTCGATATCCACTTGAGCTATTACGACCATTAACACAGTGTCAAAATTTACCTTCTTATATTGTAGCAGTTTTTCATTGCCTGAAAACACGGACAAAAAGACATTTTCTTAAAAATAAATCCTAGCTAGATCGATTTATTGCCCCCGAAACTCCCTGGACAATAAATATGAAAATCGTTTGAGCCGTTTCCGTGATTCCGATTATATATATATATATATATATATATCTACAAGAATTGCTCATTTAAAGGTATAGGATATAAGAAACGTCAATCGTCTTGGAATCAAAATTGCGATATGATGAAAGAATGTAAAGTGTAAATATTTTACGGTTTACATTCTTTTATCATTAAAGTTAAATTAGTTTTAACAAAACAATGATGAATTTTATTGTCGTCCATTAATTTACGGCATGATGTTTATTTGCTAAGTATATTTGATTAATTTAATTGGTCCCATTTGATATTGATTGGCATCATAAAATAAATGCTGATATTATTTTTACGTTGAGTAGACTCATGGAATAAAATGAAATTTACGAATTTTATCGCTTTTAGTTTATAATTTTGTTGGTTTATAATAGTACAGTAGATTACTATAGGTCGTGTTAGACTCTAACAAGTATAAAAAGCAAGAGGTGATATTGTCCTGGCAATTAAGAGTCCCGTCTTTAAGAAATGCGCAAATAAAGCAGTTACGATATTAAAATAGTGAAGAAGTTACTTCACTAAATAACACCACAAAAATCTCCATAAGTTAATAGATGAGTCTACACTTACACCGCGTGATACTTATAAAAAAAATCTTGATTTTTGAGAATAAAATTCGTCAAATATTATAATAACATCTAAAACAGCCTTTTCTATTTCAAATTTCTAGGCTATTACCACTGTGCTATTACGTTATTATTTTATAAAATATTTTTGGTGAAAACGTGAGATGAAAGTATAAATAATACATTCATCATTAATTTTTTTTATTAATTTAAACCAAAAAGCAATATTCTAAGAATAAAAATCATTCATTTCTTAGCAGGATTCGTTCCCCGCTGCCCATACATTTTCGTGTGAAGCGGTTAGCCTCCCGCCGCTTTATATTAGAGAACATGCGAGTAAAAAATTCACGCTAGCGTCACAGTCTCTGAGCGGTTGTGTTAGTCGTATTTTTACATTACTTATTAATGTTACGAGCTTAAGGTTCGTGACAATAAAAACTGCCAATTAAATTACCAAAATTGACACTTTAATTAGTGAACACCAATTAAAACTTAAATCACACTAATAATTAATCACACTTAACACTTTATTTCGCTCCTAAGTCTTCACTTGTATCGCTAATTCAATACTACCTCGGTCGCGGCCTTAAACGGCTTTATATAGGCCTTTTCCACCGAAACATCTGGAATGTTCCAGCAAATACCGGTCCCGACCGACTAGATGTAGAAAATTCGAGTGTGGACTAGAGAGCTAAAGCTTCTAGAAAGCTTAATTCTTCTATTCGATACTAGATGACGCTATTGGTGGAAAGTTCAGGCATAGAATTTTCTAGAAAGCTCACCTCGCTCTGCTCCCCGACACACCAACACTTTCATTTTTTATTTTTTATTTTAACTTTAGACGTGTGTAATGTTTCACTTTATACATCCGATTACTGCTTGTGGCAAGACCAAGTGGATGTGGGAAGTCAAATTTTGTAACAAATTTCATAAAATCAGTTACAGAAATATGTAATCGTGATTTTAATCAGATCACATGGTGCTTTGATGAAATGCAACCTTTATATAATTTACCAAATGTTAACTATCATCAAGGAATTCCAAATCTTAATATGTTTGATGGTGAAAACCCACATCTTGTTATTATTGATGATCTAATGAGAGAGTCCGATGGAAGAATTATGGATATATTTACAAAAGGTAGTCAATCACAGGAATCTTAGTGTATTTTATTTATGTTCGCGACGGCCTAACAACGTTAAGAAACAAAGTTATAAAGAATATTGTTTTTTGTATTCATAATGAAATTACTGACAAAACGGTGAAAACGTGTATTAATATAGTTGTTTGGCATGTTTATAACTCTTAGTATATTTGTATAGAATGTCGTTTTGATAACAAGTAATGTAAACAACTTTTATTATATTAAGAAAAATCGACCAATCACAGCGTGTCTTATCGTAAAATTCTCTAGAAGTTTTTTAATTAACTGCGTAATAGTTCATACTAAAAATAATGAAAATAATTTTATGTTCTAAAAGAGTTATAAATATGACATTGAATTAGCATATGGCTTATAGGTTAAAGAAGTGTAGGAAT